GATTTTTGTTTCTCTGTTGGGTGAATGCGCAGAACCTGGGTCTGCTTTCGACGCGGCAGACGGTGCGGGGCGGAAGCTGGCGGAGTTCCTGCAGGAGCAGAGTCCGGTGGACTGGCGCCATCGTCCGCGCCACCGCTGTATTTGCCGTCCACGATGCCCTTCTGTTGTGTTTTTTCTTTTTTTCAATGAACAGCCAGCCGATGAGGCGAATTGGGGGGCGCAGAGAGGAAGGTACGAGGGTCGCCGCTATGAAGTGGGCGGGGCACAATGCCATCAGACTGGCCTTCGCATGTGCCATTTGTTTATGTTTACTGTTATCTTTTGCCCTTTATTTTATTTTATTTTGTTTTGAGCGTTTTGTCCGTGGCGGAGGGGGCGCGCCTTGAGGAGGACTCAGCTGTCACCGCCCGCATTGCTTGGCGCGTGTGGAAGCTTCTTCGCTTGTAGGGCGCAAGCAGCGGCGGTGCGGGCTTCTGTGGGACGGCCCTCGTGCCTCCAGCGTTTGAAGGAACTGCTTTGGAAGTGGCTCGTCCTGCGCCACACCTTTTCTAAGTTTTTCGCAGAGCTGGCAGAGGGAAAATGCTCCTCGACTAGGCTGAATGAATGTTGGGGCGGTTTGTTTGTGTGCGTTAGCTTCTGAGTGTGTTTTTTGGTTTGTTTTATGCAAGGGTGCGCTGGGGTGGCGCGCGAAGTCCGTTTTTTCCCTTTTGCCGCAACTCCCTCCGCTGACATTTTCTGCGCAGGGGCGTCCGGTGGTTGCGGGCCGTGGCGACTGCCGCTGCGTGGGACCCAACGATCCCGACCACCGTCAAACGCCTTCATGCGTGAACTGTTTGCCTTTTGCGGCCCCGAAATAAAGCGGCCCGTATTCGAGTGGTGCGTGCAGTGGGCGGAGTCGTTTGTTTAATGTTTTTACTTTTTCTGGGTAGGAGGAGGCTGCGTCGCAGGCGCATCCCCCTCTTGAGTGTGTTTCTGTTTGTTTTGTTTTGGGACCTGCACGCAATCTGTGCGCTGGGCGGTGTGGCACGGGCACTGGGTGGGGCCGGGAGTGGGGCGGCGGTGCTCTGCCCGTCTGCGGTGTGGCACGCCTTTTTTCCTTTTTTGTTGTTGTTTTGTTTGTGTGCGTGTGTAGGCGTGTTGCTGGTAGATGCAATGCAGGGAGGCATCTCTCTCTGTCATGAGAGAATTTGTATCTGGGCATTATGTTGGCGTTCGTGAGGCGCTAGTGGCGCTGCGTGCATGTCCTTCAACGTTTCCGGNGGTGCTGCTTAGGTGGCCTCGACGAGGACGCACTACTTAGTGCGTCT